ATATATGTAATAAAAAGGCGTAACGGCACCACAGATTACTGACGTATCATGAAGAAACAGCAGTATCTTCAACTTTCTTGAGAAAAAGGCTATTTAAAGGGACAACAAACACCCATCATGTCTAAAAATATATTAGCTGCATCATAAATCCATAGCAATGTCAGTGTATTCCTTATGCATTTTTGACACTTTCTTCCCACAGAAGGCAGCTACTAACACTGGAACACTTAAAAAGTTCTCTCTTCTGGTTTCCTCTCTCAGGCAATGAAAACATCTACACAGCTCTGGATTTCACTGTTTCCTTTTTCTTCGTACCAAAGTGAGTTAAACAAGGAGCAGCTAGGATTTAAACTAAGTTTTTACTCAAGGACAAGTGTAAGAAGAGCGAAGGTATACAGAAAATAAATATATTCCAAGGTCCTGTTCTTCCCCTTTTTATAAGGAACTTACACAGAATATTTCACTTAGAGATAAACCAAAATTTAAGCTTACAAAGTAAGTTAGTATCTCCGTAAACAACTCTGAAAGATGAAGGTATACATTAACAACACATTTTGTGTGTGACAGGACTATGAAAAACAAAGCAGCTTAGCCCATGCTAACTTAAAGAATGGTTTTGCTTTTAAATAATTACCAGAAAAAAGAAACACCCAAAACAATCTAGCCACAAGGTACACTGCACTAATTTTAAACACAAAACACCAGAAATATTTTTATTCTCAGGTCTGCTGCCTCTCTAATATGTGCTTGTATTTGTCTGATCTTTCAAAATTTAATTTTTTTTTACTGCAGTTCAGTTTCACCTATTACCAAAGAAAATGGAGTTCTGAAATGTTTTAATTACTTTCCCTGAATAGAAAACCTTTAGAATGTAAAAAATCATAAAGACATTATTTTAGTTAACAGAAATCAGAATAACAGTAGTGCATTTTCACACATACCTTGACATCGGTAGAATAGTCCTCTCTTCGTGGTAATCACTGTCACATTCATTTATATACTCTCTTAAAACAGTCAACACTCTCACCATTCGTATTGCTTCTTGTCTTGCACAATTGATACTGTCTTTATCTCCATCCAACACACATAATGTATCATACGAGGCTTTTAGACGATCAAAGCAGGACTGAATGAAGTCTTCATGAATCACTACCTAATGACATTAAAAATTGGCACAATTAGAATAAATATTAAAAACATCTTTTCAG